GTGTGTGTGGAGGGCTAAAAACGGTGTTTGTGTTGGGAAAATTAGTGCTTTGGTGCAGAATTTGTGTTTCTTTTTCCCCTTACCTCACATTGGGTTTAGTCAGTGGGTCAGAACTGGTGACCTGGTTTGGGACTGTTAGGAGAAGAAGAAGGAGGAGGAGGAGGAGGAGGAGGAGGCAAAAAGGGAAAGAAAACAAATGACCATTCGTCCACGGAACAACGGAAAGGAAACAGCAGTGAACCAATCCGGCCAGATTTGCATAGTTCAGCCTCCTAAGCCATAACTTTTTGTACTGAGGTGGCAAATAATGGCACTGCATTTGGGAGACAATAAAAATGAATGGTAAACACCAACATTGGCGCCTCTTTTTGCAGACTCCCTTCGACAGCGTGTCGACGACGACGAGGAGGCGGTGGTGATGGCACTCATCAAGTCCACAGCAAATCTCCACTTTCCTGTGGTTGAAAATTCTATTTTTAGTACAACTTGGAGCAATTTTTTTGTGCTTTAATTTGACAACAACAATGGCATTGAAGACGGCGCCAATGGAGGCGAATTTTGGGACAAAACTTGTCTCATAGGCAATTTCAACTGCGACAGTCAGGTTGAGACAAATTGTCCGTCTCAAAAATGTCTCGCCAAATGTAATTGGATCCCAGTGAAACAGATTGATGCAACTTCATTCTTCTAATTTTATTCTTCAATTACCACAAAATTGTTTCCTCCATTTCAATAGGAAGTGTCAAATTAAATGCTGTGTTCCGATTGAAGCCTCCTACGGAAGTGTGTGTGTGTGTGCATGAATTAGTAAATTTTGCCCACACGTACGTGGGGAAAGAAAAGGGGTTGAAGGAGGATTGGACACTCAATTTTCTCTTGCCTAAAATCATTCCTGTTACAAAATGCCCACCCATTGGGAGGGAGATCGACGAGGTGTCTATGGAAGGTCGCGTTGTTGGATAGAAGGCGGTGGGAAGGAAGAGGAGAGAGCGAAGCATTCGAACAGACAGACAGACGGAGAGCATCGAAAAGAAGAAGAAGAAGAAGAAGTGTACAAAGCACACGGCGTCTTCTGTCATGCAAAAGTGATGGCTAGGAGAAAGTCTTGTCTTTCTTTTTTTCGTTTTTCTTTTTCTTTTTTTTGCCCCTTCTAATGCGGCATAGCCATGGCTTGAGAGGATGTCATATTTTCGTCAGTTTAGTAAAGACGGTGGATGATTGACTGGCGCAAGGAGGCGTCCACTGGTCGACCACTTCCTCGCCTACAGGCAGGCCCCTTCGATTTCCACGGCTTGTCATGGAGGGACAGTTAAGACTGCAAGAGATAAAAAGAGAAAAAAAAGACAATAAAAGTTAATTGCTGTCAAAGTTGACACTGCGCGAATCCTCAAACACACACACACACACACACACACAATCGAGGTATTCAAAGAACAACTTCCTCCCTTGAAAAATTTTAACAACTGTTTTTATTGTTACCACTTTGATCGGTAAACTGTTGTCAAGGCATTTGTCACACGACAAAAAATTAATTCCACTTTTAAACTCCTGTTGCGCTTCCACTCGTGAGGAGCAGATTTTCGGTCCTCCGTCCAAGTGTCGCCTTTAATGCCTTTTACAAAAGCCTAATGAATGCTTGCGGGATTAGTGGGGGCAATTTAAAGAGGGGAAGGAAATGATGTTTACGGTTGTGGAGCCACCTCCTCAACAAACAACCTCACGCTGGGTTTAGCCCTCCACCGATTTCGAGGTGCCCCTATGGAAGCAACAAAAAAACACAAAACACGAAACACCGCGCTAGTGACGTGGTTTGAAGATGAGCCCAAAAAAGTACAACGAAGGAATGTTTTGAAAAGAAAATTTTTGTTTGTCTTCCACAGCGATTAATTGGAACGCAGTGCATTGAAACTTGAGAAGGTGACTTTAATTGTCCCCGCCAGTTGTCAATTTTTACTTGTCATCTTGCAAAATGGCTAAAATTGAGGTTGTGCATTCATTTTTGTATTTTTTTTTTCCTTCTTCCATATTGATCACTCTGGGGAGAATTGAGAGGCTTCAACTCCTCATCACCGCCTTCTTAAAAATCCCTCTTGACGTTTTAACTGTCACTCTGAGTTGGTGGCGACGTGACAAATAGTGTCAGGAGCTTGCAAAGCCTCAATGCCCAACTTGAAGGCGGTGTGACACCAATTGGCAGTTATTAACCCGACGATGGTGGAACATTGTCACCTTCCATTTCTGCCTCCCTTTCAATGGCTTGACACAAAGCTTGACTTTAAGACAACTTACTTTGTATTCCTTTTTGTGATATTTTTTAGGTCAATTGTCAGAGGTTCGAATGTACTTAGTCCGACGCAAAGCTCCCGAGACATTGAAACGACGTGTAGTGTGTTGGTTTGACTACCTTTGGCGCCAAAGTCACATTCCAGACGAGCAGAGAGTGTTCAAACACCTGCCAGATCGGTTAAAAGCCGAGGTGGCCATTCATGTACACTTGGACATGCTCAAACGTGTGGACATGTTCCAAAACACCGAGGAGGGCTTCCTCCTAGACCTGGTCTTGCGTCTTCGACCTGCACTCTTCTCACCCGGCGATTTTATTTGTCGTAAAGGTTTGTTCCTTTTCATGTACTCACAGTACAATGGCGTATTTATCTAACGAGTTGAGCGATTCTACCAATTAAAACATTTTTAAAAATATGAAATATAATTAAAACGGTGGTTTTGCATCACCAAGTTCTCGTCTAATCAACAATGCCCGGATGTCAGCATTTTTGGTGTAGTTGATCGTCATCTCTTCGACCATTGACCACTTTGACTAGGACGTCTTTCAAGTTCATTCGCCTCTTCTCTGTGCCAAAGGCGAACCTTCTCATGCCCAACGCGGGTATGACCGAAGGAGAATTGCAAAAAACGAAGTTGGAACACAAAAGGTGTTGTCTCTGTGCTTTCACACGGCAATGATAAGCATTGCAATCAAACAAACTAAATTCAAACTCCTTCAAATCGTCCAATGGTGCAGCCTTCACGTCTTGTTGATTGTCTTGCCTAAGTGCTGCTGTCTCGACCCTGCATCGGCCAACGTACTGCCCAAATTTAAGGCCTATTTTTAGCCACGACAATTATCCCTTTATGGCATCAACTGGGAGGGGCGAAAATGCTTACAGTGCACTAGAAGCAGCAGCAGAAGGAGGAGGAAGAAGAAGAAGAGGAGGAAGGAAAAAAGTCTAAGCATGGAAACAGTTGCATGATGCTATAAGAGGAAATTACGTAAAAGTTGGTGCAACGCAGTACTGATAGCTCATTCCCCTTTCACTCTCACAATAAAACTTTTGTCCCTTTGTTGACAGTTGAAGGTCATTTGTAAAAATAAACGAATTTGAAGGGTAGAGACGCAGGGAGACGAGCTCTCAATGCAGGACATTTGCCAATGGAGGGGCGACAGTTTGCGTGACCACGTCGACGGTACAATGACTTCGTTGTCTTTCCATTAATCCTCCTCATTAATGGCTTTGGAGGACTTTTACAAGGCCATAACAATAAATTCTCCCACATGGTTTAGTTAACGAACCATGAAGGTGCCAAAAGAAGGGATTTGGTTAAACAAAAATTTACTTTTTGCTCCCATTTTAAAAACGTGATTTAAGCAATTCGTCTTCATCACTGTTTAGTGTGAAAAAAATTTGCCAAAGAAATACATTTTAAACTTTTCCCAAATCCGCCTTTTTTCACCATAGTGGTAATTGTAGTTGGATTAAAAATTTTCGATTTTAGGATGGTATTTGGAAGAATGTTGGTCAATTTTATAGGCGAAATCGGACGAGAGATGTTTCTCGTGAGTCAAGGCAAGTTGGATGTTCTTGCGGCAGACGAGGGCACCATTTTGGCCACACTTGGACCTGGCAGCTACTTTGGTGAAATCTCCATTCTCAACATGGGTAATGTGGGCAATCGACGCACCGCATCTGTGCGCTCTATCGGGTACTCCGATCTCTTCTGCCTCTCCAAGGAGGACCTTTGGGATGTGCTGAATGACTATCCATCGGTGAAGCGAAAATTGGAGAAAGTTGCTTTTGATAGACTCAGTGCCTGCAAAAGTCCCCTTCCATACAACGATACTTGTGAAGGTGGGCATCCCTTCCACAACTTCTCGAATGAGCAAAATATTTCTTTCTTTTGTTTTTACCTTCGTGTTGACATAATCAGGTCAAGTATGTCAGCACTCACACTTTAAACGTCAAAACTGCAGTCCACTGGATTTTGCCCATGCTGCAGTGCTCAAACCATCGAAGCTGATCCCATTCGACTGTGGTTAGCAGTGACAACACCATAAATCTCCATAAATCACTGATGGCATAAATTTTCGTTACGTCAATTAGGCTGCGTTCGCCCCATCCCTCATTGCCTAGAAGAGGGAAGGCTAATCCGACGATTCCGTCTCAAATGACATTCAAAAATTTGCATAGCAGGTAGAAGTCCAACGCTACCAACACTGTGAAGGATTTGCAGAACACGAAGAAACAAAGAAAGGGACTGTGTTTGCATTGTAAAAAGGTTTTTTTTTTGGTAAAAAGACAAAACGACATCCCATTTCAGGCGAAGTAGAGTTGCATGGACGTCCACAACGAAGTGTTTCATCAGTGTCGTCTGTTTCTCGAAGATCGCCATTTCCTCTTTCCCTTCCACTTCAAATGCCACCATCTGTTCCACCGTCCAGTCGGCTTGGTTTGAAACGACGGCGTTCTGCACTTTCTATGAATTCGTCATACTTACCGTGCAACAACCACGGTGCCTGGGATCGCCACACATCGCTGGATCGAAGCTGTTCAACAAAAACTGCCCCAATTCTCCACCGCCAATTCTCTCTTCAATGTAATTACGGGGAGACTCTAGAATCCGTTACGCAGACTCAACGTCGAGCTATCACTTCAGCAGTTCTTCGTTCAATGCACAATCCTAGCGAAGAAGCTCCAGCTACATCCATTCTCCTTCCACCCGATGTTGCAAACAATCCTATTCCACAAATTCGTTTTGAAAGAGCTGCTACACCGGTGGGACGGCCAAATCTGGAGACTGAATTGAAGCCACTTCCAGTTCAGTTCAGCATCCCCGAGGACATTCGAGGGGAAGAGCAGAGTCAGACTCTGTTGCAGTTGCCTGAATCAACCAATCACCTCTTCAATGCCTCCACATCCACCTCCGCTTCAGGCTCTGGTTGCGGGTCTGCTTCAACCTCACCCTTTTTGGCACACTCGGCTCAGCTGAATCTGCTTCTCGAGCTCCAGCAGCGTGTAGCTTCACTTGAGTCAGAAAATCGAGTGCTCTCCATGTGTCTGCTGCAATCCATGGGACAGACTGAAGCGACTGACCGACCGACAGTTTGACCGAAGCGCATATTTTGTATCAAAATAGTTCACAAGCATTCAAATGATTGCCGTATGCATATAAACAAACAAACAAACAAATATCTACGTATATAGTGCGCTTATTCGTGTGCCCAGATCTGGAAAAAATAGACGTCTGGAAGCCGTGCTAATGCATACACATACACACACACAATAGACGTAGTTGAAAGTTCCGCCATCCAAGGGCTTGCAGGGCTGGGTTAATGTTACAGACAGCTGAAATAAGCATTAAAAGCGAGTGCCTTTACCTCCGCCGTAAAGCCAACCATCAAAATATCCTCCGCGTGACTCAGTGGTCCAGCGTTTCATGACAAGCATTGCAATACAGCATTAACTACGATTATTGAAAGTCTAAACAAGCTTACCGCAGATAATCATTGTTTCCTTCGTAAAGTGCTCATAAAATAGCTCAATTACTTCAAGGAAGAGCGGATTTTTGTTGGCATTGGTCGTGGTATCGGCATTGCCGCCCTTTCAGTTCGTAGCATAAAATGCCATCCATAAAGCCACCCGACTTCACTTAGCGAATTCGCACTCAAAGATTTGGTCTTTTTTAAAGTTAACTTTACATTTTTCCCTATGAGGATAGCATTTGAGATACCACTGTCCATCATCACCAACGCGCTCCTTGTCCTCCCTCTTTCACAGTCGTTGAGTCTGAGCTTTAAGACAGACATAGGCAAGTTGTACTAGCCAAAATTACAAAATCTGAATTGGGGTGAGGAAAGTTAGCAAAATCTTCATGGAAAGAAGGGGATGCGTTGCCATTACCACAGCTTTTAAAAAAATTACTCTAGTAAACAGGGGTTAGTTTTTCATTTAGCAGTAGTACTACTTTCATCAGACCTCCATTTTCCCCCATTGTTCAGCGTTGTTTTAATAGCTTTCCAAACGTCTCCATAGCTTCCAACACTTCTGTCCCTAAACAATAAGGGCTCTTTCAGTAATAATACGCGTTATTGCGGTTGAAGTGGTGGGATGAGGCATTGATTTGTCTGAGCGATGGACCAAATTTGCATAAAAATAAAGCTCGACAAAATCTAGGCGCCGCAGAAGAGTCCCAGCGATTTTTGGAACGTCTACACGTAAAATGCGCCCAATGGAGGAGTAGTCACGGCACAAATTCTGCAAAGGGTGAAATTTTGGACTTTGCTTAGCATTCCTAAATGCACTAGGACCTAAGTGTAATACTTCGTTTATGTGATCACCCTATGTTTGGCCGTTACTTTGGAATTTGTCCAGCCCATTATGTCTGATCTGGTCTTCAGGCCAAACCACGGTCCTTTTCACTTCTTCTCCACCTACAATGGTACAATCAGCTCAGTGCATTGCCTCCTTCCCCCTAGCAGAAAGTCTCAGGGCGCTAGATAATATCATCAGGGAGAAGCCAGAAGTTCATATGTGAAGATAAAGGGGAAATGGAATTTTAAAACAAATTGCTATTTGTTTGACTGCTCTTTATGGCACAGTACCCTTATGAGGATAATCTTGCAAAGAACTTGGCTTGCAAGCATCTAAACGACTCCTTAATTACTTACGCCATGACTATAAATGGGCAAAATATGACGTTAAGATATGGTACTCGAATGTAGTTTTCGATACGTGCAAATGGTGGGAGCATCAGTTGTGACTGCAAAACTTTAGACAACTTCTTTTTTCAAACCACGAGGTTTTCGTAGTTTTGCCAACCCAAGTTTGTAGCATCGGCTCTCAGAATTAAGCTACTCGCTTGATTCTAGAAACTTTGCTTCATTTTTATTTAATCACTGTAATCTTGTCGATGCTATTTGACTTTGTTTGAATTGGTGCCTTTGATTAAGATGAGGTGAGTTTATTTCCACGCAATTCGAAAGTATTGGTCCTGTTGTTCTGTCGGCGGAGCGTTGTGATAAGGTTTGGGGTTTTTCTCTTATTATCTGGGGCTGCGTTTGTTCGCCTTTTTAGAGAAATGAGCTACTCACGTTGTTATACGTGCCAAGCTGATCTCCAAGGCACCGATTTGCGTGTCCATCTGCGCTCCGAATGGCACATACACAACCTGAAGCGTGTCGCTGCGTCATTGGTGCCGTTTACCAAATTTCAGTTCCAGATGAGACAGTATTTTCTAGGTGCATATACTTGCGCTTCTACGAACAAAAATGTATGGCTGTGCATAGTTCGCCGTTATTGTTATAACTTACTCTTCTAGGGTCTGTATTGCAAGTCATGTAGAAAAACTTTTAGTTCTGATAAGTCGTATGAAAATCATGTCAGATCACGGCAACACAGGACCAGATTGAGGGAATTCGAACAGTAAGCTTCTCTAAACTTTTCTACTCCCTTATTTGTGACGTTCGCCTATGTTTATTACGGCACTTTCAATGCAGGAAACGCGAAGAAGCGTGCAAGGTGGACGCGAAAGACTCAAAAGACGAAGATGTGGAGAACAAAAACGTGGAAACAATTAATTCAAGTGGGAATTTCGGACAACCCTTACCAGTTGGTGCCTGCCTCTTTTGTAATGTCTCCTTCGCAAATTCCCCAAAATCGGAGGCTAGTGTGCTACGTCACATGGAGGAGACGCATAACTTTGTGCTGCCCTTTTCCGAAAGGCTATTGGACGGACACGGTTTACTTGCTGAATTGGGTCGTTTGGTGGGAGAGGAGTTCACTTGCCTTGGCTGTGGTCGAAAGTTCTTTGGTCGCAGAAAGAACAGACACAAGCGCTCACCCTCGCAGTTGCGTGAGGAAGCTCTTAGGGCAGTGCGGATGCACATGATTGACAAAGAGCATAACTTTCTTTACGTTGGTGAGGAGGATCCTGTTGTTGTGGCGTTAGCAGTTAATGAGATGGTTGGAGGCAGGGAAAGTGAGCAGTCTTTACCCCCAATTGCCCGCGTTGGCGGAGAGTTGTACAGCCAATTTTATGTCTGTGACAAGGCTAACAGAACTATTGTCTTGGTAATTCATCACTTCTTGAGCGGTCTGATATCTTCTCGTTTTTACCTGTGGTTTATTTGGTTTTCGTTTTAGCCTGATAATGCGGATGAAGGTGATGAAGTTTACGAAGTTCGTTTGCCAACAGGAGGTGTTATAGGGCATAGACGGTACTACAGGACAGTATTTCAGCAGAATGTTGGGTCTTACCTCCGCGAGGCGGCAGAGCATCAAAATCGTCTTGCTCTTATGGCGGGTTGTGAAGGTGCTGGTGGACGTCGGCATATCTCTATCAAAGGTACCAAATGTGGGACTTTGGCGAACTCTTCGCATGGAATTTCGGACGTCCTACGTACTGAGGTTCTTCCTCTTACGTCGACTTTGGTTAGGCGGAGTAAGGATGATCTCAAGCTGGGCTTGCGTGGGAACTACTTTCTTCGCGGGCATTTCCGTCGTCAGTACTAAGGCAGATGCAGATGTCCTCATTCCCGTACTGTTACAGATATTTTGCTATCACTTGCTTTTATTCACTTCCCCCCTACCACCCTGTATTAATGTCAGGTTTAACCGAATCGCTTCTCTTGACGTCACGCTTTGATTTGTAACGAATGTCTTTATTTAAAGTCGATTACACTGCAACTTCTGGAGTCAGTTACAGAGCGGTTGAGAAATAGCTCGGAGACAGTCTAGGAATCCGTATCTTGCTGCCATTACAGTGACGTGCGAGATAGCTGCTTGGAGACTAATTGCTACCGTCGCAGAGGTCCCACTTCTATAATTTCTTGAAGGAATCAAGTATTTGGTTGGGGATTAACTACCTGAAGGGTGGAATACCAATGGAAACTAACAAACAGTTAGGAGTCTCTCTGTAGGGAATTAAATTCAAGAGAAACGGCGCAGACATTGCGAGCGAATAGACTTAGTTCACTCAAGGTAAAATTACAAATTACGCAGACAGTCACTGTATCACTGCACTGTTCCCAGTCGTTGCAGGGGTCTGAGGTTGATCTTCAACGTTCGTAGCGGTTAGGCACGCCGGTGGGGCAACAGGTTTTTCTGCCATTTGTCGAGAGCGCACGTCCCCTGTGGGCAAAAAGGGTAACACCAAGTCTGATCCACCCGGAAAGGTGACTGGTAAGTGGAGCAAGGAGCCATCAATCATGTGGATTGAAAGGGTTTGGGGTTCCGTCTCTGTAGCTGCCAGCCTATCATCGCCTTGGCTATTCTCATCAACACGAGACTGGTTGGGCTGCTGCTGTCCCAAGGCCGGTGGCAAGGACGGCAACGATAGTGAAGATGTGGTAGTTTGACCGCGCGAACCAAGGCAGGACTGGATCAACTCCCTTCCCTGGTCCGAGTCTATGATCGCTTTCAGGCGATTTGTTGTAAATGTGTACACATGATTGGTTTCCGAAGCGACAAGCAGAAGTACCTCAGCCCCTGTAAGTTCAGCCAACTCAAATGCCTTCTTCATGAGACCGGTTTTGCGCTTTGAAAAAGTTGAACAACGTCGCACACGATCTTGCATAAAAGAAATGGGGATCTTCTGTTTGCCCCTAGTAAGTTTGCGTCGCTTTAAGGGGATATCGCCATCAGTAGGAGAAGTATGTGGTTGAGAAGAGAAGGGCTGAGTAAATGAAGACTCCACATCTTCGTCATCAGTGAACAGGTCGTTCGCTGGATTTTCCGCAAAAAACTTGATATCCGCCATCCAGATGCATGAAGTGAGCTGCGAGACAAACAAATAGGTACTTTCATCCCACGGATAAGTGACCATTTAAATTCAATGTTTAGTAAGCAGAAAAATCGAGATTACCGAGTTTCCGAATAAGAGATTCAGGAAACTACGACGCTCAAAAACATCTCAACACTAAAGCCTGACGAGTTCACAGACCCTATTGTTTGCATAATGAAAGACACAAGAAATCGATTCGCATTTCCACAAATCCCCAGACCCACAAAACCCAAGATCAAGTTAACACCCCGGTGCATATGTAAAACGAGCACTAATCCTCACTAAATGCGCGCGTACTCCTCAGCGCAACTCCCCTATTCATATCACGCAGCAAGTTCAATTACGAAATCATTTTATATGATTACGATTTCTAAGAAAGATAATGAAAAAATTGATGCTCAGCCACAAGCCTCCATCCATTATTGGTGCTCACAAATATAAATATATAGAATGAACAAAACTCAAAAAGGATTTAATGCAGTGACAAGGAATATTCTCAAGCAGTAAAATTCGTTGCTAGAAAGTGGCGAGAACCAAGTTACTCACAACGATAGCCCTTACTAAGCCCTTATCGCAAGTGAAAGCTAAGAACTGCATTATAGTTATACATAGTGTAAACAAGTCAACGTGGTGGATAGTACAGAATAATATAAGACAAATGACGTAGATCAAAAGCATGCAGTAAATCGGATAAATAAGACCCGGAGACCGAACGAGTCAATGAAACAGACGAGCAGAGCTACCCAATTCAATGAACCCGCTCAAGTAATTAATCGAGCCCAACTGACACGATGCATTTATATGTCCCTTGTGTGCAGCTGTGATTTCGACTGGACTAAAGATCACATTATATCATTACTTTGTACACAAAATTTAAAGCTGAAATATTAGTGAAGGGCATTAATGTGCTTCCATTCAGGTTGCCTATTGCGGGACTGGCTATATACAGACGATTTTAAGCGAAATATTTAGCGTCACAAACAGAAATTAGAGAAATATAAAATTTTTGAGCGATAGTACCTCCATGTAGACTTTTTTATTTGGATATCGCTTAAAACTGGCATTCATTATTTTGGCGGCTATCTTGCTCTACTTTGTGTGAACTCGCCTGCGAGCCAAACTATATATTAGCGCCCCGAGGCTTCCCATAAGGTGGAAGAAGGCATGTGAGGTTGAACACATGTATTCCAAAGACGGCAGGGCAAATGGGGCGTGAGCGTGGCCCGAAGGCCGCCCACGTGTACATGGGCCGGACAAATATTGAAAGTGACCGCCAAACGTCAGGTAGTCACATAAACAAAGCATTGCACTGCCCTTCTTCTTTTGTGAGAGGCTTCCTCGATGCTTCCCTTGGTACACCTCCTGCGCCATCCATCACGGCATATTAGGTACCAAAAGAAGACACTTACGAGCCAACCGCGCCAGTCGACAGACAACACGAAAGCGAGGAACCGTATCTGGTCTCCTCGGTAGCTTCAACTAGATCTGCAGTTACGTTCGGTCTGACAGCCAAATCGGGGCCGCATACACATGTCGACCATCAATTGCTTCCAGGAATAGACAGTGGAACTCTTGTCTAAAGCCCGTATGTGAGGAGAACCGTGGTGTCATTTCATTTTGTATAGGAAATTCCGACACGAAACTTTTCCAGATAGTTCACTGCGGGGTCACCTCTGTTGTTGATAGCTTGTCTGTGGAACGCGGGAATAAGGTGGAACCAAATGTAGACGTCAGTCTCAAACCTTTCGTTGTGAAGGATTCGGGGATTTGCCCGCCACCAAGGTAAATGCGCCTCCTTCAACTCACGTCCCTTTTCGACTGTATCTTCATCTACTTCACTTCGATAGATAGAGTCAGACTTCCTTCTACGCATGTATAGCTCATGATTGCCGATGCACAACGCCAAAATGCGGTTATTAACCTTGGATTTCTCCACTAAAAAGTAGAATTCCTTTGCAGTCTTGTCTGTTGGTTGGATTATAACCTTTTTGTCATGAAAAGAGTGGTTTCGACTTTCTGGCCAAGGAAACCCGATTTTTGGGTATCTGCATGTATTGAACCAGTGCATCATCCGATCGAGCCGTTGCTCTTCGGCTTGTTCGCACTGTTTTTTTTCGCAAATCAGCCGAACGACCGGCGAAGAAAAAGCCGCAGAGAGAGACCCCACCTCAACTGCAGCAGGAGGTCTTCAAAAGTACTCCATACCTAAAAGTCGTTTAAAAATGTCGGGTTCGCTTTCCACTGCCATCAGTGTAGCATCCCGAGGCTTACCATAGGGTGGAAGAAGGCATAAGTGAGATCGAATATATGTATTCCGAAGAAGATAGGGCAAATGGGGCATGAGCGGGGCTCGAAGGCCAGCCCACGTGTACATGGCCCAGACAAATTCTAAAGTGATGGCCAAACTACAGGTAGTTACATAAACGAAGCATTACACAATAGTCTAGCTTCTTTTGTGCGCCCGAATTTTAGCAGTTAGATATGCCCAATGCGCTCTTATGCAAAATTGGAAGCCCTTGTGCCTAACGCTGTAGATAACGCAAGGCGAACTAAACTTCACTTAGTCTCTACCATCTGTTTTGCACTTTGACGGTGTAAATTTGATGCAAAAGGTTACAAAAGGTGTTTGACTGCTGCCTCATTTGCGTTTTATGCTGGATATCTAAAAAAGGGTAATATGCCATTGTCGCAAACCATTTTAAATGACTCGTCTCGTAGTTTTCCCCATCGCATTAGCCTAGAGACTCGGATAATGACATTGTTCCATACTTTCGTTTACGGAGAAATGTCTTTCTGCAAGACTAATGTGAAATGCTTTGGTTACTGGATTACATGCATAACCAGTTGTCGCCCCGGTAACCATTGCAATACACTGTTTATTTGGCCATCTGATGTATGACGGTTACTTTAGGTTTCATTTGGCGCTTGTGTGCGTGCACTAGCCTTTGGGCCAAGCTCAGGCTCAATCCCATTTTTCTAATTGGAACAAATACATTCAGTTTCACTTAGTGCATTCTTATACCCGGTGGGAAGTCTTGGAAAGCAGCTACGATCTTGCTTTTTTTACGTAGAATAACCCGATCAAGCTGAAGTTCAGCCTCTTCCTTTTCCTTTTGAGCACGAGGGCTTAGTACCCCTTATTGCCTCCAAATGTTCAGTGACACCACCCGCATAACTTTCAAAGTCGTACGAAAATCGGATCCTTAATCTGTCCTGAGATTTTTGCCACGGGAAAAAAATAACGAAATGAAGTTAGTACATGCAAAGAGAAGAAACCGGGCTTGGGATTGGACCCGAGTTCAATCCACATGGACAAGGGAAAACAAGTACCAAAGTGCCCATCAGCCATACAGGTGGTCACTTAAGCAAAGTGAAACAAATCTCATGCTGTTGATCGAATATTTTATTTGTGTGACTACGTGTAATGCTTTGGTCCCATTAGAGGCTATCGTTGCTTCTGCAGGAATGTCAGGACTTCAGATGGGATGAAAGCCCCACTGTACCATAGCGAAACTTCTTTCCGATGGAAGAAGGCAGTAATTGAAGCTGGATTCATGTGTTCCAAAGAGAACAACGTAATCAGGCCTTAGCATAGTCTGAAGACTAGCTCATGCATACAAGGATCAGACGCATCTTAAAGTGGCATCCAAATGACTGCAAAACGTCAGGTGGTCACATACACAAAGCGTTACACCCATATCTGACTTCCTTAAATTGACAAACTTAGATATGTCAAATGACTTTTTTATCGGATAGCAATGCAATGCCTTGTTTCCGTGACTACCTAATGTTTGGCGGTCACTAGTGTAGTTACTGCCTGTCTACCCTCTGGTCCCAGGTTCTCAGCCTTTAGGAGGAAGTTGGCTGCAGACGATTTATTAGGCATCGCTGTTAGGAAGGATGGGGAATGGGATACAAATGAGGTGAGTAGGAGATATCACTCGGAGGAAAACTCCTCGCCGACTTCAAGCACGTGACCCACGCTCCCAATTGGTCTCCGCTTCTCACCTATAAAAGTCCACTTAAACAAGCTAGAATATATTACAACTAGGATTTGTCTGGCCCTTGTATACGTGGGCTGGACTTCAGGCCATGCCCAGGCCGATTTCCCTGTTATCTTCTAAATACATGTATCCAGCTGCACGTACTGACTTCTTATACTGGCTTGGGAGTCTCAAAAAGCTTCAGGCAAAAACGTTGGGACACTGTATTTATTGCGCTAATTGGCGGCAAATAGTGTTTTTTACAAAGACTGTCCAAAAGCGTAATTACAGTATCTACACAATAAAACATTTAAAGTAAAATAGTTTAAGCGTTTTCAGCTCATAAAATTTACCATATTGGAGTAAACTTTTGTATTTGAGGTAGACAAAATTTAGTGCCAGCATTTTTACCTTACTTTCCGTATCATCATACCATGTTTGTATATGCGTAATTTTAATTGCTATAATCATGCATAATACTCATTATTTTTCTAGCTTAACTCGTTTATATCGACTCCATATCTACTTGTCCCTTTATGATATCGGAGCGCTATCTTTGAATAAACGTGACGCCATTTTAGGTGCTTGCTGCTATTTGCAGTCTGTCCAGAGCTTGTTCGTTAATTCAAAGTTGATTGTAATTGGCGCATAAACCTATTTTGCGCAATTTTATATCTTCTCCTCTCTACGTCGGTTCACCCAGAACCCACTAGTATTCCCTGGTCTTATGATCGCCAGGATTCTCATCCACGTTTGATCCATTCGGATAGTTGTAAAAGATGTCTCGTATTTTCAAATTGAGGAATAATTCTGACCCACCTTTGATGAGCTCAACCCGTTCGAGTCATTCCGGTTCTCGTTTCGCCAAATCCACCTGCAGTTCACACAAACGAATAAGTCTTATTGTCTCCCTTGATCGAACGCTTCACGAAATCGCTTCCATTCTTCAACGTCGTTATGGTCTTGATCTCAAAAATTGTCAGTATTACCTTAATGACCGCATTCGGGTAAGTGGTTCCTGTTTCCATCTACATTTGTAGCTTCATGGGAATTGGCCTCTCTCTGCTCACTGCATACAGCCGAGTGGAATGGTGCAACTTCTACTGGAAATTAAGTCCATGCCAACCCATATCTCGTCCTATCGATTTACTCGGCTTAACGTCGTTGACATTCTCTCTCCTGATACTGATGGCGATTTTGGGGAATCTTCAGCATTTGGCAACAAAATCAGAATCAATGATTGTGGTGTTGCAAAGGTATGATTTGTCTATACGAGTTCGTATACCTTTGAGTCATTCAAGGCTTTGTTTTGCATCATTATTCGTTTGTGCTTGAGCACGAACTCGATTAATTGTGTTGATAAGATTAGTGAACTTTTATTCCAATCTACCCTTATCTATTTTAAAAAGGCCTGTAATCTGGGGTCGTTTACCATAGCCATTGGTTTGGTCGGTTACGAACATTCCAATAGCACTTCGTGCTTCGGTCCTCCTTAAGCCCGGTGTTAGAAGCGATGAGGAGCATCTTATTGGTTCCTTCTGTAAATGTGGCCATTTGCGTCACCGGCGATTTGGTCCAACGTGCTATATGTTCACAAAAGATATTTCTGTTGTACCAATCAGACAATTTGGTGTTATTCGTCCTTCACGCGTGCCCACTTGCATTGTCTTTTAAGTAAGAAATTTACGTACCTCTAGCACTTAATTGGTCCAATCATCAACTTATTGGATCGCTCTTGTTACTTTTCAGGTGGGTAATCAGACTGTAATTGATGCTGTAATCGTTTCTTGTTGCTTCCAATTCCGATCCCCAATTTAAAGTTTGGGCTTTCTAAATGTTTTCATCTGCCTTGTATTACGTTTGCTGCATTTTTCTCATACTTTGAGCTTGATGTGGTCACTTTTTACAAACGCTTTCGGTGAGCGAGTTTGAAAGTTTGAGATTTGATTCAGTAGCTGCACACCATGTCAAAATGCGTTGAAATGTTGCTGGTTTTAGTTTTCCAGCTTAGCATCTATTGCTCGACGTGGCGATCCAAGATAAGGATTTTTGTTTTAAGACGTTTTAGTTTAGTGTCGAACAGTAATACAAAATAATCTTTCCAAAGTCCTCAATTTTTATCCTTTAACCCATGGCGTTTTGAGCCACTGAAATGAGTGCTACAAAGTTGGACAGTAATTTGAATCCATTTGTCACCTTGAGTCGCTAGTGGAATGTTGTTTTTTGCATGGGAGTAATCGCGAGCAGAGTAGTTTTATGTCAGCGTTCTCGGACACTTTTTTAGGCAGTCAAAACCACTTTTCGGTATTTGCAAACCTTAATTAACAACTAACTCAGCCAATACGTTCTTATTCTCATCAAGCATTGGGCGCTGAGGTGTTTGTAAAATATTCCTAGTAGAAGTCTCAATAAGCACTTATCAAGCGCTTTTATTTTCTTTCCTACAGTCGCATCGTTCCACAATGGCAAGCCTTAACGGGATGACGCCAGCTTTATCAAGCTCAAATATCAGATCCGATTGCACTCTAAACTCCGAGACGTCTTCCGTAGATCAAGAGTCTAGGTTGATCTCATCAAGTGCCGTATTCGAAGCCTTTACTGCCGCCAACAGAGCCATTGAAAGCATGGAACGCTTTTCTACAGTCACCACCTCTAGTAGCATCATCAATCAGAGCGGTGTTGCGCTGCCGTCGAGTTTTTACTCTGCATCTCGTGTTGGTGCCTCGCAGTATGGCTCGAATTACGCCTTCATTATGGAGCGTCTTGCTGGCGGTGGTAATGATGTCGGCGGCAGGTGGACTGTCGATGAGCACTACCGTCGGCTTATGAGGATGAACAGCATCCCGAGCGATCCCGGCCAGTGGAATGCAACGCAGGTAAGATTTGGTTTAGTTTATTTCTTCTGTTGTTATTCAGAGAATGGTAAATTTCTCATTCCTTCCGTAAATCTATGCGTCTAGGTGGTGATGTGGATAAACTGGGCTTCGAAACAATTCAAATTAGTGAATAACGGTTCTAACAATTCCCATCATCACACTAATGGAGGTGATGGTGGTAAATTGGCGAAAGCCTTCGAGGGTCTCCTAGGCGAAGACTTGTTAAGCCTTTCACTCAGTGATCTTTCCGCACGGTTCAACTTCTCGGGCTCAACAGCCACGCCCAACTTAGCCTTTTTTACTCACTTCGAACTGCTCAAAAATTGCCGCGAAGTCTGTGAGTTTCGGTGACTTTAAGCGCCCATTCAACTTACTTGCGCCTATAGCTTGGACATTTGAAAATAAGTTCACATAGGGAGAAGTTGTTAAGTCATGAGAAAATGTTGCCAGTTTAGTAATTGGTTTCAGTGATTTGATTTTAGGACTCGCATTTTCAAGAATGGCTTAAAGGTACACAATTTTTCAGTCAAAAGTGGTTGATTGATTTGTTATTCTAACTTTTTTTTGCTTGATAGGCCATTTTATTTATCTAATCGTTCCAACGAAGAAATTCTTAAAGTTCGTCCTAAGTCTTGGTTGATATTTAGGAACTTAACTGGACTGGAGCGATATAGACTCAAAGCAAGTGAATTGCTCTTGTTTTTGAACCCAAAATCTATCGACGGGTTTTATTTAAATCATGCTTTTATCACTTTTCACTTTGAGATGTGTTTACTAAGGGTAAATAAGTAGAAGAATCCCTTTAAGGTGTTCCCTACAAACCGCAAGTGCAATCCTGCACAATACCGCAGAATTCTCAGCGCGTCTATCGTCAGATAAGCAGATCGAGGGTTCGCGGCTCCCGTAACGGTGGTGGTGAGTACGCTTCTAATGGCCCTTCGTCCTGTGCTTATTCTACAAATAATGGCAGCAATGTGATTACCCGTTTCCCTGGCGGCACCGGTATGATTCATATTATCTTTCCTACAGTCATGCGGCGAATTTCCAAGACTTTGGTCACTTTTTAGTCAATGGCGTAACAGGGCTGAATGGAGCCGTCTTCTCGCCCTCCCTCCCCCTTACAAGCAACCTGCGTCTCAACGGCGGTGGTTTCCAGTCGCGCATCAGCCAACCCTCTGCCCCTAGTGTACAGCTCTCCTACGGACGTCTTGCCTCTTCTTCTCCTGCCTCAACCCCCTCTTACTTTGCTTCCCTGCCTTCGTCCGCACAGCCCGGTTTTGGTGCGAATGGGAGTGGTTTTTATGGCGCTAGTGATGGAAATTCATCTGTTCCGGTGACCTCAACAGTTGCTCCTGACGCCTCGGCTACTGTCACAGGCTTTCGTCCAGAAGAGCGCATTTATTCTCCATTCTCCTCCCTCGCTGTTGACGGTAGCGGTGCTCCTAGCGTCAGGAAATATCGAGTTGTGTCGGCCCTCTCACCTCCTCACCATCATGACTCGGGCACCATAACCGTAAGTTTTTATTTAATACCGAAAATTTCGTCGTGACTGTACTCTTGCGCGTTAAATTGGACGTATATTTTTCTTAATTTAAAAAGTTTTGCAAGGCGACACGGTTACAAAAATAACAGGTTAATTATTTGCTTCGGTCTTTAGATGCCTTCTCTCGCGATTGGGGGGGGAGGAGGTGGAGGCACTCAGTCGTCTGCAGCCGGTAGTGGTTGTCAGGTTCATTTATGGCAGTTCCTCTTGGATCTTCTGACTGACTGGCGCCACCAGGATGCCATCCATTGGGTCAATAGGGACGGTGAGTTCATGCTTGCCAACCCCGAGCGGGTGGCCGCAATGTGGGGTCAGCGCAAAAACAAACCGGCAATGAACTACGAGAAGCTTTCGCGCGCCTTGCGTTACTATTACGATGGGGATATGATTGCAAAAGTGCAGAGTAAACGCTTCTGCTACAAATTTATCTGTGACCTCAAAACTCTCATGGGTTACTCCGCTGGCGAGCTCCATGAACTTGTGTGTTACTGTGCGGAAAAACATGGTGTGAGTTTCAGGAACGGTGATTTAGAATTCAGTCGAAAAAGGGCCATGATGGATGGAGAGGCCTGGTTTGGTTGTCCCTCACCAATGCGTTTGCGATCCATGCCCTCGTCCATGCCGACCATTCTGGACAGTATGGAGTCCGACTCAACTTCCGCCGAAGTGGACGTGAGTCCGCATTTCTCCAGACCTGAGGATGAGGGTGAAGTTATAGAGGAAGTTGATGAAGACGAGGATGATGACTCCTTTGAGTATTGTGGTGTGGATGATATTGACAAAGTGACTGCTGTCCTCCGAATGGAGGCCGATGAGTGTTGCAAAATTGCTGAACAGAAGAGTCGAAGAAAGTAATGTTTGTTTTAATCTGCCTGTACATAGACAAACTTTCTCTCTTTGGTCCTATTGCAAATGATACATGTAACTCCATTACTCCTGCTTCAATTCACACAAAATTACTACGTTTTATATTCCTTGGTGATGCGTACATCAGTGTTTGTCATGATTTTGTGAAATGTAGAAACAACGCTATTATTATTATTACTATTATTATTTGGAATTGAAGTGTGTTAGTGTTTGTGGTGTTTTGGCCTCTTTGGTCAGGCGTAGGGAGGCTCGGAAGTGGGAGGTTGAATAGTGTAGAACCACCGCCTGTCGAGGACTGGGAGGTTGAATAGTGCCTCTGATGTGTGAATCGAGATGGTGATTCACATTCTCAACCTTGAAGGCATCGTTCTGTGTTGTACACTGGATGAGCAGTCGCATGGCGCTGTCTCGTCATGCCTGTGATGGCATGGTGGGGTGAGTGAGATCCATCGCCTGGGTATTTGATGTGCCCATTTTTGTGTGTCAAGTCTGTTTCATGCAATCCGCATGTGACTGCGATGAGCCACAGGTCTGCCTACCTCCTACCTAAAACGCAAAGTCCTTGTGAATTCGTCTGTGGCTCTTCTGCAGGTTGGAAGAGGGTGTCACTACAAACGGTGAGTGCTTTGTCTCATTTCTCGGCTGATTTTCTGATAAGCATCTCTGTCTCTGGTATTGTGTGATTGCAGAAGAGAAGTCAACCTCAAATCATGGTGTTAATTTTTTTCATGGACAAAAAAAGGCATGGCTTTACTTTGCAGCCATTTGTCGATATGATTAACACACCAGTTAAGGTTAGGTTCTTTTTTTTTTGGTGTTTTGTTGGAGAGGTCAGATGAATAAGGACGTGGTGGTTTGTGTAGGGCTCTCATTCACCTCAAAGCAGTTTGGATCTACGAGTCATTTTAGTTTAGCAAAGCCACAAAAATAATGGTGAAGGATTGCTTTGTGGAGGTTCGAGTGTTGAAGGTCACATTCGTTCCTTGTCTTTACCTCTTCTTTTCATCGGTGGATGTTTGTTTCTTTTTTTCTCCATACCCCAGCAAATTAGTGAACAAGTCAGCTGAACGTCATCAATACCTTTTCTTCATTTTAAAAAATGCTAAAATAACAGCACGATGCAATTGGTTTCTTGGTTTGAGGATGTCATCTCGACAACTCTCCAGTCGTCTGTCGTCCGGTAAACTATCGGTGGAAGTAGTCAGTTTCTACCCTCGACCGAATGTCAGAAAAACGAATTCTATCACTTTGCCACTATCCTAATTTCTCGTATTTGAATCATGAATTGATGTAAATGATCAGCTCTGTCCGGGTCATGATTTACCGCCTCCCCTTCTCTCACACCCTACACACACACACACACACCATTATTTAGTCCTGCCCCCTCCTCTCTCCCCTCCATTTGGCCGACCTCCAAAGCGCAGATATTCGCTGATTTCGACTGTCTGTATGTGTCATCAAAATCGATGACCTCGGTAATCTTATCAACCGGGCGATAATCTCGTCTTTTGGAGTCACACACATTGGGTGCTACCTTTTAAAAAGTAGATGTCATGCTAATGGTTACACTTTTGTTTTTTATATTTAAAGCTACTCAACTATAATTTTAAGTGAACTTGATTGTCATTTCATTTGGTTTGTTTTACACCAACTCAGACATTGCGGTAATGTTCATTGGAGGTCTGTGACGTTTAATTGATCGTCAAAATCAAAGGACCACCTTTAATGTGACAGAGGGAGATCTCATAAGAGTCCACAAACTGCAGTGTTTTGGTATTTGCTATGATTGCTTCTACTGCAACGCATGCCTCATCCAGTCATTTCTCCAGCACAAGTCCTAGTAGCCTGACTTGCCTTTATGTACTGATACGGTGTCGGATCTTGCTACTATTTAATATATAAGTAGTTTGGTTTCGAGACTAGTTGTCCTTTGTAAGCATTATTGGTCCACTCGCGGCTAGTATAATTTCACCACTGCATAATTTTGCTACACACTTACCCCACCATAACTTGAGTTATCACTACCGCCTTTTAGACATCATTCTCAGCACTTTTGGTGGTGAGCCTTTATTTTACCATTCTTTTGCAGTATGGTGCACTAGCACCGTCTTGTAGACTTCAGTGGAACCACAACTGTAGCCGCAATTTACGGATGCCTTTAGTATGTCAGTTAGAAATCCCAAATTCTATGCAAATGCCACATCGGCGAAGATTCAAACAAATGACTCCCGATAGTAAACTTTTAAAAGTTCACATTTCCTGCGTCAATTGTGGATATGGAACTTTGTCCAATGTGCGTAATGATCTTATTGTGATTAAATTCCACACTTGAAAGGACGGAAATGGACCTCTTAATTTTTAATTTAAGGTCGTCAATTTGATTTTGCTTCGGAACGATGGTTTATCTTTAATGTGTCCGAAGGAGTGTCTGTTATGCCTCTCTATAAAAGGAGTGGATTTCCTCTTTTGCTGTTGCCTTGAAACGCCTTGCATTACGAAATGACCGAGAAGCTCGATACAGATTGCGGCTTATCCAGTCGACTACTACACTGTTATAAAGGCAGTACTTTTGTGTTCGTTTTCTCCATTTTGCAACTTCACCAAGACGCCAAGGCTCGCCAGTTCCACTCGCCCAGGATGGATCTTCTCCACAGAATATTAAGCCACACTAATGCGGTAAACTTACACTTAGACAGGTGGCAATTGGTGGCTAGCTGACGATAGTGGTTGTTCCACCAGATTTTGCTGTAAATTCTCAGAAGTCTGACAATTCCCATTTACTGGCTTCGAACAGGTAGCTTGGAGCTGAAATGCGTTAAAAGAGGCGACGAAATTCACTTGGTCGGGTCTTGGAAAAGCAATCATTGGTTGCGTCGTCGCTCACACCAACGACTGGGCAAGAGACCAGAATGGCAAAGACGAGTAGGACGATGGAGACTGCTGACTAAGCGAGGGAATGAGACAGTCAGTGGCATAGTCGAGTTATGTCCAGCTAACAAGAGGCTCTTTCATTTCCTTTCCCGTAAGACATTCACTTATCTGTGGCCAGGAAGTACCTTTGCAGGGAACATCTCATTGCTGTCCAAAGCAGTGCTTTTGTGCCACTATTTTAGACCCGCAAAGTATATCTCACTCCAAATTCGGATCATTTTGAAAGCATTTCTAAAGGAATACTGGAATATTGCACTGTGTTTGTCTTGGACCTTCGCTTTGGCGTACAAATAAATGAAGCACATGTGAAAATAGTTGCACCAGCAAGCCTATGTTGAAGAATGTGGGAATGGTGCCTCCTTCAACAAAAATAATGGAGGCGAATGAATTGAATGCGATCATGGTGGTGCAAGGGGATGGCACTAAATCCGAGTCCTTCATTCAAAAGTTCATTTTTTCAACAAGGTAGTTGTCATCCAACGCTTTAACTTTATAAGAAAATTTGGTGTCAAATTACGTTACATTGGTAGGCGCATTGTGACAGTTAATTCCACATTTAGGCGTTTCGAGCGACTACAGGTTCCCTCTTACACAGATATCTAAAACAAGTAGCCGTGGGATGACAGACATCACGGGGGCGTGTTCGATTAAAAAACAAACATTAGGCGCTTGCCTTTGGGATGCACTTCAGCATGACGTACGAATTCGCGGCCATTATTGTCACAACTTCGGTACAAGTAAGCATCGCCAGCACTCTTGTAAAATTATTTTTACTTATAAATTATAAGTACAAATCACAGCTACATTTATCACATTCGTGTGGTGACTGCCAAAATCGTCTTGCAGAAATGCGATCTTCTGCCACCCGCATAGATGCTGAGGCGCCGAATGCATGCCTCAAATCACACACTACAAATTTGTGTGAACTCTCTCATTGTAAGGCTTGCGCATTGGAAATCGGTGGTCTGTAATTCCTTACAAGTGCGGTAACTCGACCCTTGCTGCTCAGAAGATCCCTCGATCACCATAAATCCCTCTCCAGAAATCTCATTTGTAGTTTATTAGGAAAATTCCACCAGCGACATCGTGATCAATAAAAATTCTTTTCTCACTTGTCTCGAACCGCATTTCTGATTTAACCTTGAACCTCTGTTTCACGAAACATCCAACACACTGAGAGGGTCTTCTCACTTTTTCCTCAGTGGTAGCTGCTTAAAGTAATTCTTACTGGGACTCACGATTTCCTTGATAAAGGACTTTGCCAACTTTGTTTAAAATGCTAACTCTATTATACTTCCTTATAACATTCCCTTCGTTTCAAGACAGCTTTCAAGTTTAAGTTTCGAGTCTACTGCATGCCACTAACGTTTCAACTTTGGGAGTTGGAGCTCGAAGCAGTCTCTCGTAAATTCTCGTCATTGTCGTTTTCGAGGGCCAGCAATAATTTCCAAGAGGAGGTGTCTCAAATTTCCTAAAGCACATCTTTGTGTGCAAAATTTCACACGTTTTGCCGTTTAGTATCGGTGCTTCTCGCCCTCGCCCGCGCCTGTGTATGAGGGCGTGCGCTCATTTCGCCAAAATTGCTTCTAGGCCTTCTCAATGGATCCAACTTACTTGTCCTGCAGCAAACAGTCAAATTTTGCTTTCTTGAAGGCCTTCAGTAAGATCAGTTGAAGCATCACAATTTAGAGACAAGAAAAAAGCATCTTTTTTCCCAAAATAATGTCACCAAGCTTTGTTATAGCTTTTGTTGGCTTCTCTGACCCATCGCTTGATCCCTCACTCGCATCCCCCTCCAAGAGAATTACTTTTAATGCATTGTGGTGATCGCTTGCATCGGTCCAATGTCATGAAATCCATCTCTTGAGTCAATCAGACGTCCACCTTCACCATACCACCTCGTGGGATCGTCCTTTTCTGCTCTGCTAATCAAAGGTGAACTTGAAACTCATCATCATTGTTCCACCTCTTCAATTCTACTTGAAGGATCTAACCACAGGTGGGGTAGCCCCGCCAATGACTTTAAAATGTTGACTCACTTAATGTGGCAAAGCAGTACTGCATCCGCGTCCAAGTGACCTCCCGCAAAAGGCAGCTCTTGTTTATGTTGGATAGAAAGGGATAAGACGAGCTGGTAACTGGCAAGATGTTTATGTCGTCGTCATGCCTCTTCCCACTTCCCTCTCACTCCAACTTGCCCTCGCCTTTATGGGAATGTCCCCGTTCGAAGAGAGGCAATGCTGGTACATTAAGTAGTACCTAAGTCACTGAACGCACTGACTTCCAACCTTCACGTTCACTTCGTTTGACCACTTTTTACACTTCTCTATGCGTGATTAAAATGTCAGGCAAAATTCATTTGACACAGTGCTCTTCCCCAAACCCTCAAAGGTCTGTCCTCGGATCAGAGGAGCTCCTTACGATGTCCACTGAGTCGACACTTCAGTACCACTGTAGCACGTATGCACACACCTATCGGATGCTTTTGGAGCAAAAGCAAGTTTGCTAGATCATTTCGTTTCCCTTAATCAGCCCCAATTGGGTAAGTTTGAGACACTGGTCGACAGTAAACTTTGGGGAGGTGTGAGTGCGGGGAGGGGGCGGAGGGAGAGGAGTGAGGGTGTTTAGACAAATTGGGACTGCCCGAAGTCTGCGGTTTTGGTGGAAAATGTGTTTTTAAAAAATTGTGACAGTTTTGTACTATGGCTTTTACAAATTTTGCCCTCTCCGAAGTAGAACGAGCATATTTTGTCAAGTTTAAAAAGTTTGTCGGTTTCTTTATTGCGTGTTTACGCTGTACACTGAGTGAATATTCACTTTCAACCTTATAAGGTGGTGAGGAAATTGTGTAATGCTTATGTACACACAAGAATAGGGCGGAATAAAGGTAGTGACACAGATAAATCACTTCAGGCGACCGAATCTCTGTCGGTCCACTCTGATTGGCTGCTGTCGTGTCCACTTAAGGAGTGGACCAATTGGAGGTAGGCCAGCATTGCCATCGCAGAGTTGGATGGAAGAGGAGGATTTAGGGGGAACTCACGATGGATCAGTGATGAGGTCAGCATGTGTTGCATGAAACTTGTCAACGAGTTGGATGAGTTAGCTGAAGTGATGGTAGCAAAGGTAGAGGAAAAGGAGGGACTGTGATCCGACTGTGAGTGGGCAGTGCTCAATGTTGAAGCACTTCTCATATGTCCTGTCGTCAAAGCTGAGATCATCCCACTGGAATGTTGAGAGGCCAGGAGATTTTCCATCGATTCGCTATAACCGATTGGGAAGAAGATTGTAATCGGCTATTAAATTAAACTGACATCATTCGAGTTGATAAAGTTAACTTTGAAAAAGGAAAGATGAAGGTGGTGGGTACCTACAACACTGCTAATTTGAATGACATTCTGCCTCTGTGAGAGTGTATTTGGGTAGTCTGCAAATTCTGACAGAAATTGTTCTCCCACCCTCCCGTCTCGCCTCCTTGCCCAACTTGGCGAATTAGTCCCTCACAATAAGGCGCCCATCGGAGCGTTTTCACCGCATGGTACTAATGTAAACAGACACATAGCGTCCCTCGCCAAATGCCGTCTTTGCACAGGCCGTCAATGCCATCGCCATCATCATCGACACACAATCACCGTCGTCACCGCCTCACCACCACTTTATCCTTCCTCCCTCTCTCACTTATCCCTTTCTGGGCAGAACGAATAAATCAGGTCCCGGTCCCTTCTTCCTCCATTCCTCTCTCGCAGCCTCTCTGGGTGTTGGCGTCAGGGCTTCATATAAACACCGAAATCCTGTTCACGCTTCGTCTTTGGAGCGTTAGCAAGCACAAGTCCTCATAGTAAACAAAAGCAATGACTTGGGCCGCAACAGCATCTGCTGAGAGAATTTCCTCCTTTAAAATGTAATAATGCTTCTTGCCCCCACGTTCATCGCGATCCTCTCCCATTAGTTGTAAAATGTTCCGTGGTGACTTAATTCCCCCTCCTTCTCCTCCTCCTCCTCCTCCTCGTCACAGCAACAACGCGTTAACCAATCAACTGTACCACAACCTGTCAATCGATAAATGCAGCAGAACAAAAGTTTTTTTTGTTTGTTTTTAAAAAAAGGATGCCATGGACGCCATTCTCTTGGTACTCCCGTAGGATGGTTGTTTGATGTAGTGATAAAAATTTCGGTGTAAGATGCAGGAGTTAGTAAAAAAGAAAATTGTGTTACATTTGCATCTTTAGACCAAATGCGTGGTGGTTCATCACTGACGGTCGGTTGAACCGAGTCAACTCACCGTTCAAAGTCGGATAGACGCGATGAATCACGGAATCCCTTAGCAAATGGATTACAGTCGATTTTAAGTTTAGTTATCTACAAAAAAAAAAAATGAAAATAAATAAGGGTGAGAACAATAAGACAATCAACCACAAAGACGATGTGAAGGCGTTAGGCAGGTAAAGCCAAATACAAGCCGCAAACAGGTGACATTTAGGACTGTTCTGTGTTATGCAGTGCAGGCGCAGCTACTGGTCGTAAATCAGCACCTTTGCATGTGCAAGACGTCTTTCTGGGTCAGGCGCACAACTAGAAAGTTGTTACGCACCAACACATTCACACACGTGGTTCACTCAGGTGTATGTTTGTGTGTGTGTTGAGGGGGCAAAGAAGGAGGGGTGAAAGAGTTCGCTAACACCCTCAATCATTTCTCCTCTCCCCTCTCTCCCCTTCTCTTTCGCCTTTCCCTCCTCCCCTCACCCTACCACCTCTCTTCCATTGCCTTGTGTTGTTACTTACAGAACCAGATGTGACTACTTTCGTTTCATCGATGACTGCTAATTACGCGGTCGGCGATGATCCTCGTGTTGCCAGATGGTGCCGCTTCTGTTCAGACCTTCTTGTAGCCCCTTCTACCTTATAATTTGGGTATTTACTTGGTTTGGTACAGGTCATCAATTAATTTTCTTCACTTCGCATTGTTTGAAGGAGGTCCTTTGTGATTGTGATCACTTTGAATTGAGCCTCCTTCTTTAATCTGATTGCAAAATACTACCTATCAGTACTGGGAGTTATTTTAAGGATCTTGTTATGCAATCGTCACTTTATCCACTCCTTCAATCCGTCGATTGTCAACTCGAATGGCGCGTAGCATCTTTGTGTACAAATTTTACACGTGTACGAACAATGCGACCGACTTTGACATTGTTTCAAACAAAAGAGTCTTTTAGAAGACGACACTCTGATGTGATCGTAGAAAACTGGTACAACTCCTTTTCTAAGTGGCATAGCATTGAAAGCATGGACCACAGCAGTGAAAGTTAACCTACGAAGTCAACTTGCAATCACACAAAGAATTAAATGGACAATGTAGAGGCCGAAATGTGGTCATGAAGGGCTGCATATCACATCACTCGTGAGGTTGGCGCCTTTCTCACATACCGATGCATCAACGACGAACTTACAAGTTGATTTTGATAGGCGGTCACTGCAATAAAGACAGTCTCCGGGAATTCAAATGTCTTTATCTCCTCCGCCGGCAGAGAAGTGAGTGTGTCGGATGAGAAACCGCATCTCGGTCGTCGCACCAAGTGGATTCGTGGTTGGTATTTGTGCATTGAATTGAGAATAATCTGTACAACAAGGCAGAAGCTATCAAAACAATTTTCCTTTTCCAACTTTCACAAGTGCCATATGCACATCTCCAAGGACAGTGGTCAAAACAAAGCCAAAGAGGGATTTTGCAATTCTAAAAAGTAATCTTACGCAATGCATGACATTCACAGCTTCGAAGTGTCAACTCACATAGCCATGCTTGTCAAGAAGGTTGTTGGTTAATTTGAGTTTTTCAAAAGACACTGTCTGTCGCACCAACTGTTCGCCAGTGAAAGGTGCATCAGGATGCAGGTAACACCGACGACGTCGTCGTTGTTGATCGGTGGTTTCGGGATCAGCTTTGCCTGCCACCAACCAACTGGATCGGTGGTAGGCGTATCGATAGCGTTTGTTGTCCACTGGAACAATGTCCATCAACACAGTGTACTTTTGTCCTGGTCTCAGTCCTGTGAAGGACACTCGCATTACAGGAAACATCCGTCTGCAAAGACAGTACAAAGGTAAGGTTAAAGCATCACCTCACATGCAAATGCCTTACCTTCCAGATTTTGTAATAATCATTTCAGTGCCAAGTTCGTTGAACCTTTGCCAAAGCTCTCGAGTTTCCAGATGACATTGAGCTTGTGCCAAGTCGCCTGTTCCTCCTGAAGTTCGACATGAAAAGCTGCTGCCTCTAGGATTGGGTGGTACAAGAGTGTCATCACATTTGGAGAGACTAAAAGGGGAAAGTTGTACAAACTTATCACACAATGAGGACAAACTTAATGGGACAAGACAAATTTGGCTTACCTCAACAAACTATCACAAGAGGATGGCATTTGAACATCTTGCTGAACGGATGGAGATGGTGGATAGAAGTGTAGTCGTGGAGACTTTGTTGGTAGGGATGAAGTCTCCTCATTGCCAAGGAGGCTTGACCAACTTCGTCGTAGCAGTCGAGTCTCGGACTTTGGACTCACTGGAAATGGGGAGATGGGTCAACTCAACAACCACCCACTAAATATTATCACTATGTCTTTTTTTGTTTTTGCTAGAACTACTCGAAGAGGACGGTGAGGTTTAGTTGCTATGACGAAAAATAGCATTTAAAATTAGGTAAGGGGCCATAAGGACTGTGCCTTTCCATGACAAATTCGACTTCTACCAACTGGAAGGAAGGCCAATGCCTAGCCCAGCTTAGAGACAAATGTGTAACAGTATTTTAGGTAAATTTTGTCTAAAACCGTCGGTACCGCCACCAACACCTGCCCTATCAAATTACATTGTCTCCGGCCCAACAACAGACTTGATGGCTCTGATGGTGTTGGTGCCGTTAATGATGCCGTTGTCTGGGCGAGATTTGATTTCAACAGCACAATTGCATTTTCGTCGCTGCTGTGGTCAATGCAGCACAATGCAGTGTACAATGCCATGGCAACAATTGTATCGCGATCATCAAATTTCGTGGCAAAAGTAGCTTGTTTTGACTTCGACTACCTTCATAACAGTAGGAGTGACAGTAATGTTAGACCGAAAAAATAATCGTTCTACACCAAGATTGTGTTAGTGAAGTTGACTAGTTTGATGGCATCAAAAGCGAAGCATAAAGATCTTTGAGGTATAAAGTCGTGCAAATTTGGATTATGCTGAGGTGGGAGTGAGTCTGCACCAAATTACACCAACAATCAATCCATTGCGCCACAAGAGCGGGATTTACTCAGACAGAAAATCGCAAAGCAGAACTCATCTTACGGGGTTCAGACAGGTTATGTATGATTGGCAGGAACATTTTTTACCATTATGACAATCCTTCACGAAGTGTGTGCACAGTGCCGAATTTGGGAAGTTTGTCCCTTCCATCATCTCCTCGCATACCTTCACCTCTCTTCCGAGGTAATCGTCTCACTTGACAAGGAATCATCAGTTCTTGACAAGCGACATATTCCAGAGAGACAGAGGGATGGTCGTGACAGTTGCCTTTTGTTTGTTTTGCCAAGGATTCGTCTCAATTCCTCCACCACCACCACCGCCAAGAACAACAACAAGTAATCAGCAAAGTCCTTAGCAAATAACGTTGATCAAAGTGTGTTTCATTGTGCTTCTTTTCTGCTCTGTTACTTGGTGATTCCTTCTATGGAACAAAGTCTTATGAGGTGATTGGTGAGTAAAATGGGTGATGCCATTGTTACCAGTGCTTTTGCAACAGTCTGGCTGTGCACCGAAAGTCGTCCTTATTTCCCTCATTTTAAGACCAACACCAAAAAGCATCATCACTCACATTGCGAACAAATGAATTTAGTGCTATTTTTAAAGTGATTCATTACAAAATCTGCGTAATTTATTTTGATGCGCTTTCTTGTGTAATTAAATGCAAAAGAAGGAACCACGAATAGAATTGTGACAACAAGTGGCGCAAGGTGCTTGGATCTGCTCAATTATACGAAATAATTAAGTTGATAAAAGAAAAGTCAAGTTGTTGAGCCGAGTGCGGTCGTTAACACCAACGCAAAATCGACTCCTCTTCTTCGTGGACAAAAGGGGGGAAGGGGGCGGGTCGGTAAGAAGGGCCAATGGGGCAGGAAGCAGATATGTGTTGCAAACACGAGGCGGCGCCTAATTGGGTCGTGGCCGCCAGTCCGTCTGACTGCCTCACCTATTTTTGTTGTCTCCTACATCGAATAGCCTCTGCCTCGTCGCCATTCGATCCTGTAGGCGGCCTCTTCTGGGCAGTCTGTTGCTAAGGTTTCTCACTCCTCATCCCAATCTGCAATTCTGGTTTCACTTACTGCCGCGTCGAAGTGATAAATGACTTAATTTTCTGTTTGGTTAAAACGCCAAAAGGGAATCAACTATTTAATGTTGCCTGAGGAATTTAATCGTTCGTCTCTAGGTGGCATTTAGTATTGGTTGATAAGTCGGTGGGAGGTGATCCAACCAAATTGCATCGCTCTCCTCCTTCTCTAACCACCCATACGACTCTCCCTTTTGTCACTTTATCCAATTCATTCCCTCCCTAGTTGTTTAATGAAGTGATCAATTGCTTATAATGAATTTGAGATCCAAATAATACAATTCATCGCGGATGATTTGATTTGACAAACACCTGCAAAAAATGATCAATCTATAGACTTCACTTGCCGTTACTTTTATAAAAATAACAAAGGTTACCTAAGTAAATCCACTTTAGCAGCTCCTGACCAGATAAAACTGATTCAGGGCATTGTTATTAAAAGACTTTTTACTCCTACCCAAGGTGTGTTCTTTAAGTCACAACTTTATGTTATTTTCTTATCAAAAGTAGGTGGACATCCCACTGGAGGGATGCTGAAATGAGCTTAATTGATGCAAATGATGCCAAGATGTGATGCCTAGCAAGTCTTCAAAGGAACTGCCACGTAATGCTTTTGCTGCAAAAGTAGAGCCGCATCAGTATCCAAACGGATTAAAAGTCCTAGCGATACATCCTCCACAATTCAGGAGCAGTTTAAATGCCAAACGGGTTGGTTTCTATTTGACGTTGTTGTGTTTCCTAATTAAGACAGCAAATACATTTTTAAGTTTTTATTTAATAAGTTTAATTTGGATCCACATTTAAGTGATGATCCCTAATTTTGCCTGCATTTTAAATAAAAATCAAAATTTACACAAAATTTGCTGCATAAACATTTAA